GCCGCTGAATAAAATGAAACATTGCATAACAGTAAATTACAGTAGCGTCTGGTTGGTGGTGCTGGTGGTGGTGGCGGAAATTGCATTATCAGCGTCAAAAGGCAAGCCAAAGGACGGGGCTGGCGTCGGCGAGTATCGTGGGGCGAGGGTTGGCGGGGAAGCCCATCGCTTCATGGCATGTTTTGCTGCCGGCGCTTTGCACTTCCTGAGCGACGCGTCGCGCCAGAGACAATGAGTTGTGATACTCTGAACTTTTACTGAGCGCATAATTACAGAGCTCTGTGGCAGGCAGGCTGGCTGGCAGGCAAGAAAGGGTGTACGAAAGGGAGCCGGTGATAGTTGGCATTGCCAAGACTGATGAGCAGTTTATGACTTGACGCTTTTTCACTGCAACATGCCATTTAATACTGTTATTATGACGCTTTGTTGTTGGTACTGCAGTTCTTATTGTTGCCTGACAGTTGCGCGCGCTTATAAATAATCGTTAATATAAAATGAACGCTACAAAATAGATTATTATTTAGCTGCCGCATTAAATGCTATGCAACAATTATCTTACATCTTTTATAAATTACCAACATGGCAAGACATGTCCCCTTTATAGGTAAGTAGCGGTAGAGACGATCGCGTGATAGAAAAGAGATTGGTAATTCGATCGGGGCAGCAAGAAATAAATGTATGATCTTTGTTGAATAACAAGGACGCCCCGAATAGACTTATGCCAAACAAAGATGAACATTTCATCGCAGTACTTCCCCTACCTTTTATCGAAATCTTATCTTAAATACCGTTGAGGTAAGTCGCATCTCTTTCAAGCTTGAGACTCAAAAATATCTCCACTGATAGATGGATTAGGATAACTTTATGAAGCTTTTTAATATCCTGTAAACCAGGAGCTTTAATGAAACTACAATAATTTATATTAAACATAATTATTTTATAAATGGCTCTTGGAATTGGAAGCTTTAATGAAACGACAATAATTTAAATTAAACAAAATTATTTTAGGAATCACTATTGGAATTATGAATATTAACCAGTACGGCTATAAACAAAATTGATTTGATTTATTTTAAAATTTGTACCATTTTATCATAATCATGATTCGAGATTCCCTCTGCGAACCACACATTAGCGCCTTCAGTGCACGTATTCGTTGCTTATTTCCGCACTCGCTTCATCATGACACATGTGTTGAAAGTTCAAATATCGAAAAACATTATCAGCGTGTAATATGAGCAAGGAGCACCGCATCCCCGCCCCTGCAGCATCGTATACTCGCATAGTCACAACAGGAGAGGACACACACTTCAATTCCAATAAAGTTGAGTGCTCGCACAAATGGAAATTTTACGCAGCGCCCAAGAAAAGTGCCCTTTAAAATCACTTTATTATGCATGCGTGCCAATGGGTGTGTACCATATAAGGGTATAGTAGCATGTAGAGACAACCATCGGCAACGCCCTTATAGCGGCATTGTGGACACATTTGTTGCCGGCGATAATTTATAAGAAAATTTCCATCGATCCTTTTCGCCGGGCACCAATGTCTTTTGGCGATAAAAACCAGCGCATGCACGAGGTTTAATCATGAAAAATCATATAGAGGTCGTGCATGTGTCATCAGACGTACTCAAACATACATACACGTACACATACCAACTGCCATTAAATTAAAATTTCAACAAATTTGTAAGCGCCTACTTTCCTTCGGCTTGCCAGGACCAACAAGTGCGGCAAATTTCACACAAAACAGCTGCAACATTTCCGTTAAAAACTTTCAGTAAAAGTTTTTGTGTGCCAACGATAAAGACGATTTCGCTGTCGACTTTTGGCAGGAAAAACAACAAGTTGGAGTTTGGGTGTCGTATGCCGCATGCATTTCAATTGCCTCAACATTTACATGGCAATTCATTGTCAGGGCAGTCCTTCATTCAAACACCCAGCTACCCAACCACCCACTACTGGTATTCCAACGAGCAATGCGCGCCTGCATTATGTCTTACATCTCTTTGACTCTAATAGATTTTAATCAGCCGCAGGATATGCGTCTGGACGACGACAACGAGGACGACCTGCTGTTCACCACCATCAGCACCACCCCTAACCACCCACCACCAACTGAAGCAAGAGCAGCAGCGGCATTTGAAAATTTCATGGCAGGGCAGACGCTCGGCAAATGATGAAAACTGCTCGCGGTTAAATTTGAAGGCAGCTTTAATTATGCTCTCTTCTATATTCGAGTATTATTTTGTTTGTAGGCACGCATTTAGCTGTGCTATCAAGCTATGTTCACACGAGAATTTATATTTTAGTTAATCATGGGCACAAGTCATAAAAATTTATGAAGTAAGAAAAATATCAACAAGTTATTGTAAACTAACTGGAATGCATTGATGTAGTAGGACAGCGAGAAATGCTGATTGGGAGAAATTACATTTTATATACTTCTGCTCTTAACAGCAAATTCGGTCCTGAGTTGAGGTAAGGATCAAAGGATCCTTTCTAGACCTATTTCGTCTATTACACAATCGGAAAGAAACCGACAAGTGTTCTTATTGGGATGTATATAAGTCGAACGGGATTGTGTGAAAACTGGCTTTATTAACAAACTGCTTTGGCTGAGGATGACAGAAGATAAGGGAAAGTTTTAGTAAATATGATATTCCTAATGGAGGACCATCATGCAGCGGCAGTTATTTAGCTAGCCGTGATAATGTGCTCTCAAGTTTAAGGGGTAGTAGAATATAGTCGTGACCTAAGAAAGGCGAGACTAGGATCAATTGAAGATCAAGTGGCTAGGAGAAGGTGTCTAATCGTGGTTTGATGAAAATTTAAAAAAGTTGTATATGCCTCCAAGAATATGGTGTGGTCTAAAGGGCAAAACAGACTCTTTGTGGGAAAACAAAAAGTTTTCTTGTGTATCACCAATAAAGGCTGTGGCTCTTAAGATATAATTTTAATATGTAGGATCTGCATACTTTTGACACTTGGCTTTCAATCGCCTTGCCCTGGTATAAGCGAAAGGAAAATAGTATGCCGCCTGGTGTCCAAGTTCCACATAAATTTATGATCTGCTTAAGTGAAAAACAAATGCCATCAAGACAATGTTTATAGGGAATTTCAAATGCAGCGATATTGGATCGCAACGAATGTTGCTGGCTTGCAGATTCAACGAGTAAATAGCCCAGTCCTCAGTGACGAAGTAGGCGTTGCTCTTGAGACCCATGATTATCAAGATAGGCTGGGAAGTAGCGGGATCATCACGCCTTTTAAGGGCACAGAATTTGACCAAGAAGTCACTCTATTCTGTAAGGTCAAAACAAATCTGATTGAGGCATCATTTTGTAATATGTAATTATTTAATTTTAAACTCATGTTGTATTAAGTAGTTGGCCATCCATGTATAAAAAGTTACATTCATAGGTGATGTACAATTTGTGCTTTTTACTTCTTCAATCCCTAGCTAAGATTATACTAGTGTCTTTTTGGACTCTGCACACGCGTTAAAGAATTTGACCATTCTGGAAAGTCTAAATAAAACAGGATAGGCAACTAAACAAGCTTGAATATATAGTATTAAATTTTCTTGAAGGTTCCTTAGCCTAAAAAAATATAAATTCTTCAAAAGAGCATACATATGTTAGCGAGTTAATTCAATATTCCGGCCCGATGCAACGGGCGAATGCAACCTACCGAAAACGATAAATGATGGGCTATTTTTCGATGTCAGTCGGCGTCGTTTGAAAGCCGGTACAACGCACCTAATAAAAACGACAATTCGCATTATCAAATACGTTTCTTTTAGTTTGCCTTAATTACTTTAATAAATACATAATAATAAATACATACTTTAATAAATACATAAACAATAAATACATTGTTTATACACGAACATCCGTCTTGTCAGCTTCGGCTAATCCTTTCATATATTTTTGTATTTCTCGTAATACTGAAATACAGAATCAAATGAGATCTCCTTTGACGAACTATTTAATAATTGAAGAAAAAACGTCTAAACAAATCTTTTAGGGTTGCGCACAAAGCATGCGCTTTAATATTTTTGCAAGTGTAGTGCTCGTTTTTCCACACAATTTACAAAAATAAGCTTCGGGCGGCCAACACCTAATGAGCCACTTTTGTTGAGCTACACACGAGGCCAGCGTACTTTTCAGCACTTTGACACGTTCCTATTTGACTCGAATATGTAAGTGGAATATTTCCTTCGCTATACTCGTATTTTCATTTTATACTTGTATATGTAATTGGCTGAGTGGTACTAACGCTGCTACTGACTGATGGTAACTGCGACTCGACTTTATGGCAAACAGAAGTGCTGCACAAATTTAATGCTCTTATCGCCATTGCCATAAAATGACCCGCATAAATGGCCGACACACCGCATTACACATTTAATTTGCTCACTCCCCAAAACACTTCTCACCCGACTAGTGTAAAATATCAGCATGCTGCCTGCCCCTTGGCCGGACAGGACAGCTGCGCCAATAAAAGTGTCAAATGAAAAGCGTATAATGAGCAGGGGGGTCGCATTTTCCCTCTGAATCGCCCAATCGAATGTCAATGTCGCGTCTGTTGGCTGACTTTTGACTTTTGTCGACTGTTAGCGTAAAGTGTTTTAAAATGCAAAGTGCCATCATTTGTGTGCATCGTTAAATTTCATTTAAAGCGGATGAGCGAAAAGCTTGCTCAGTTATGGCAATGTGGCTCAATCTTATCATGCCATCTTTATTGGCTGCCGTCTCCGCTTGTCCTGCGGGTGTCCATAATTCTGCATGTAATTTGATTACACAAGAACCCACAAACATACACACACACACAGAAACACCCTCATTCACAAGTTGCAAGCATCTTCCTATCAGCAACGTCATCATCATCAACATTGCAGAGCCTTTTTGGCCAATGGTCCGCAATTTATGACCAACGCGTACATGCAGGTCGCCGGTCAAATACTCATTAAAGCTTTAATGAACACTAATTTGCTTATCAGAGTAAAATATTTAATTTCAGTTTTGTGTCTTCACCCGAAATGCTCCTCATCTACCAATCTCATGCAGAAGAGGGATACAAATATTGTGGCAACAGCCTGAAAAATGTACACGTATGTGAAAAATACAGAATATTTGAGCAACTAAAATTAATACGCACGGCACCCAGCAACACAGCTTTGAACCAAATGTTTGTAACCAGCCCCCTCTGATCCGGTGGCGATTCATGTGATGCAACGATCCATAACACCAATTTTCCAATCACAAACCCCATCAATGAGAATACCAACTGTGTGGAAGATAAGCGGCTTATATATCATTCGTAAAGCGTTCTGTACTCACCAATTGGAGCATCACCACATGATTAACACACGTCGCCACGCAGCCCACCAGGCAGGCTACTAGCATCAGAATCGTAATTACCATGCATACTATGAGTATGGTCTGAATATTTGGATTGGCTTTTCCCAGGCTTAGTCCATCCACACATAATTCAGCGATAAGAAGTGCCTGTGCCAGATGTTGATATCTACGTTATCCATAAGAGTTATATAGGCTCTAACTTACCGAGAAGATCGAAAGAAACAAAACAGTTTTTATTTTAAGCAAAGTAGTTGGGCAAATGCACATTTAGGTAGAAGTATGAATCCAGTTTTGGATGACTTCGGTTAGAATATAGGTATACGAACTTATTAAAGATGACAGATAATACACGGCAGATTGGAATTTTAAAATTTTAAAATATTACGATATTTTTATCCCCCATTAAAATTATTTAGAATAACATATGGCGACGTTTTTCTTGGAGAATACCTCCAGCGCGATGCAGCGTCTAAATATAGTTTCTAAATTCGACTAAACTTGTTATAAGCGTGTTGGTAAAATAAAAATAATTTCAAAAATTGGTTTGAAAATCAAAAACCTACAAGTTGATTTTAAATAACTTGATGAAGATTGAAAATATGAACATCCAGATTGACGAAAAATAACAAACATTTTCAGCTCTTATCAGGTGGATAGCAAGCAATTTTTTCACGAACATTTCCTTAATTTAATATATTGTTTCCATTATGAAATTATATATTTTCTATTGGCCGATGTGGATGTAATAGCAATTTAATTTTACAAAAGATAATATGTGTTTTCTATGCGCTATAAAATACAGAAAATTCGCCTCCAGCAGTAAAATTAAATATATATTTATATAAGTATAGCTCTGGACAGTACTAGGTCTACGAGAACGTAGAACTGTCCTGCACAGCACTAATATACGATATATATATTGTGCTATTATAGTTGACCCAATTTGTGGGATCAACAATACTATGGAGTCATTGGGAATCTTATATAAGTATATTTTAAAAGTTAGTGGAAAAATTAAAATTACAGTTTGCTGACTACAAGAACTTCGATAAAATTTTTTAAAATAATTAAATTTTCTTGTTGTTCTGCTGTGATGGATAAGCAGTATCACAGCTGGTTCAATATCAAAGGATAAGTAGCCAATGGCCACAAGACACACACACACATTCTCACTTGCTCACACACACAGACACAGACACATACACACACATGCACTTACCGGCGCTTATGCGAACAACAAAGACCAGCGACAACATTGTTGACAATTTCCAGTTGAACACACGAAGCAGCCATCAGACATTGCCCACCAGCCATCGACAAAAGCCTTTGCCCGAACTGTCCCTTCCGCCATCCACTTCCCCTACAGTTATGTTGCCATACGGCTTACTTGTTTGTTGTTGTCTCGCCCTCTGCCTATATAATCGCCACAATAATCTGTCAACGACAGCTGCTGATGTCATAAAAACCTTTTGAAGATGTTAAGATGTTATTGTTGGTGCCCTCACGCAAAACACACTCTAGCACAACAACAAAAACAGCAACAGCCACAGCTACAAGAAGAAGAACAGACTAATGATAATTTGCCACAATTTACACTCAGGCCCAACCATCCAGCCCTCTTCTTTCCCCTCCTCAAGCTTATCGACCACACTGACAGTCGTGCGGTCGTCCCTAATGGCAGCGATAAAATCATTGATGAAGCCAAAAGCTAATTGAATGTTAATCGTTTTGTATTGACATTGCACGTAGTTCGGCAGACCACAAATGCTCCGCAGAAAAAAAATATATAAGTATACACAAGTAGTATATACTAACCATTAGGCGTGCAGATAAAAGCGCAAGAAAGCCCCAAATTAGCATAAGGTAATGATAAATCAACAGTGAACAGCACAACCGCAACCGAGAAAGTATTCGCGACCTTCAGTGAGCCAGGGAAGTATTTCCCCATTCCCGAGCCATGCCAAGTTCGTTTTTGTTCATTTATTTATTTCGCAACAAGGCGCAAATAAAACACAAACAGTCTTTAAATTAAAAATTAAATTTTAATCTACAGAACTGCAAACACAGAGAAACTTTTCTTGAATGCCGCCACCTGCGGAGTTCCCTTGCAATTCAAGCACAATGATGCGTATCAGCGGACTGATGCGGAGGGGGGGAGGCAAGACCTTCACCCCACAAGGACTGCGCTTTGTCTACAACAGCATTACAAGGACATATCGTGATGGCTGGCAAGCCAGCTTTTATTCTCCGCTCATTCCGTCTACTTCTGCTCGAGTTGGTCGGCCGTCTAGCCTTGATAATTCAAATTTTTAATCTGTTTGAAGCAATGCTAGAGTGAGAATTCAAAGAATATGAAATTTCGTTTAATTTTATCAAATTACAATAATATTCGGCATAAGTTGGATGAAACCTATGATTTTGTAAACAATATTTGATTTAGATATAAAAAAAATTGAGAAATCTTCTTTTAGAGAAAACGAAAAATAGACTTGTGTGAACTAAAAAAAAGCTATTTATGCTCTATAGTAATAGTTTTTGATTATCATCGTCATCACATATCCATCCGTAGATGTAATAGATTCATCTCTATTTTTATATCAAGTGACAAAGATTTTAACAAAGAGCGTCTTTAAACATATATCTCAAGTTGCTTCATATTCCTTCAATTTTTCTGTCCACTTCATATGGGCAACTCACCCATAACGTGGCCTACTAGAGGGTTAATAAATATTGTTATCTGTCTAAAAACGTTCAATCACTGAAATTTCTTTCAATCGAATACAATTCGCAGGTGCCAGAGCAAACTTTTTCAATTAAAGAATTTAAAGATTCATTTGCCTAATACTAAATCTATAAGATGAGGGAATTAACCCAAAAGAATATGTTTTGTTATAAGTATTGACAATGGATATTAAATTTTTATTGAGGATAAAAAGTTAGAAGGCATTAATTGTTAATTTATTTAAGACTTATCAAGATAAGTAAGAAGAAGTAAACTGGAACATACTATTTATTTCCAACGAATCTCGTATAAAAAATAACTTTTTGATTGTCTTGCCAAAGATGATTTGCATAGAGGCAGCCATAAAGAATTGAAGAGTCCGAAAGAAACCACATCGTGAAGAACTGTTTATATTTTAACTTCAAATAAAATAATATTATTTATTTAATGCTGACTTAATTTTGTATTGTTATCAGGTCTCGATAGGTCAGTAAGAAATACAAAAACTTATTACTCTTCATGCTCTTTATGTAGGATACTTATTTATTTCGACAATGGAATACTATATATAAAGATTAAAAAAAAAAACACCTTATGAACTAGGAAATCCTAAGAAGAAATCTACTCAAATTACAATAGTATCTAATAACAAGTAAAAAAGATAAAGCCGGGACACCCGGAGTTTGAAATACTCTGTATATATATGTAGAACAACTATAGAAATCAAAAAGGATAAGGATAGCCCATAATGTATGTATTCTGAATCAGCATGACAGCTAGACAAATCTATCCGTCCTTCTGTACATCAGTCTGTCTGGATGAATTTCCCGATTTCAGAAATGGTTGACCAAACTTGACTCTTGTAATTCCTAGGTAACAATGGTTGGTATAGTAGATACTTGTATATATTTTTTTTTACTTATACCACCCGCCTAACCAGCTATATAGTTTTCAACAATACTGTACGCAATTCTAAAGACACATAAACAAAACTGTGCATGCGAAATGTATGTGTAAGTCTGCAGCTTTATTTTCGTTATTTTCAAATCAGATCTTCTTAAGAATAGTTTTGGGCGAATTATTAGTTATTCATTTTGCACTTCCCCGAAATTGCTGGAACGGTTTCGTATTTTTTCCACATTTTGCTTTTTATATGCATGCTTATAAGTCAACGGCGGAAGTGTTTTCTGCTTAGAGGATTTTTCATTGCCGGGCCCAATCGACTGTAGCATTCTCTCTTCCATGTCCTTAGGATTTTTATAACAACAAAGGACTAGTCGCGTTTTAACTATGAATGATTTGGTTGTGCTTGTTACGAAACCACACTCACACACGCATCGAAATACAAACAGAGCAACATAGAAAACAGCTGGTGAGTGCATTTGCATTTCGTGCTGCCAAATGGTTCAATTGCACACTTCAGACTGCAAGTGGGCCTGACACGAGCAACATAAAATGCAGGCAGACACATTGGCCAACCCCTTTCAGGTTCGGCAGTTGGGGATGCTGGCGAGGCAGGTACCCGCTACGGGTATGGCATAAAAACGTCAAAGTCAAATACATATAGCACATACCAAATATCAGATATCAGATATGAAACGGCAAAACAGGACGGCGGCCACATATGCATCAATTGTCTAATTGTTTGTCGAGACACAGACACAGTCGTCATAATGTCCATCAAATTAAGGGGCAGTCTAGGCGATGTTCACACACAGCTGCCTCTCCATCTGTCTATCTATCTCCGGCCACCACTGGCTCCGCTCTGTCCATATCTATGTGTGTATGCCACCAGTGGGGAAGGTAAAATTGATTTATGACTTATTATGCGTCTTATGTCCTTTCATAATTTAATTATACCGAACACAGACACAGGCAGAGTCGCAGCCAAAGCCCCAGCTCCAGTCCCAGTCCCAGTCCAGGCTCTGACAGACAACAGACTGCAGTTTTTTGACTCCACTAGTGCTATATGGGTTTGTGCATGTATGTGTGTGTGTGTGCGTCTGTATATGAGTGTGTTTGTGTGAGTGGCTCGAAAAATACATAAACACAATAAACAGTAATGTTATTGTTGGTTCCTCTTGTTTAAATCATGAAAATTCGTTTACGAAAATTGCATTGCAACAATTGTTTGCGCTCAGTTGCATGCGCAAGCAGTTTGTACAAAAACAATGCATGGCAAACAGACAAGAACCGCAACCAGGACACACAAGATAGGCCGACAGACCGACAAACAGACAAACAGACAGACAGACAGATAGACAGAGAAGTCGAATGTAATTAAAGTGCAGTTTGTGACTTGTAACGGTGACATGTGTGGGCGTGTGAGTGCATTTGGCATGCAAAATGAAATTGAAATAAATTATTGAGTAATTGTCATGGAAAATGTTGTTGGTATGCGGCAAATCAAAAGGCCAAACAAATGCGGCTAATTTGCTTAAGTTCGAGAAAAAGCATGGGACACATGACCCAACTCTGATTTAATTTAATTTGATTGTTGTCTGGCCGCATTATCAAGGGAAACGATTCAAATCTGTCACATGTCGCATTTGCGTCACAGAAAGCCATCAAAATTTGAATGGACACTATGGCTTATCGTATGGCTAACAAACTTACATTGGTGTTCAAATATGGTTTAAGTATTCCATGATCAAACGGCACCAAATGGAAGAGACTCAATTCTTAACGCATTTGAGCAATAACATGTAGTCAAAGCCCTTTTCTTGTCTTTTTAGATCTTGACCATAAGGAATTTAGGCTTTATTTAATTTTTGTGTATGATTAACTCCTTAATGCAAAAACAACAAACTGTCCTCGGTCATTTAAATTTATTAATATTTATCGACTTTCTCTGTTTTCATAAGTCTAATTTGAAAAAGCGAAAACAATGCAAAAAAAATGAATTGAATTAAGTATTGAATATTAACACAAAAGAATAGATCATTTGCATAACAAGTATTTCTCTATTTTAAATTGCACTTTATTTTTAAATTTTAATAAAAGTCTTAGTTCAACCTGGATAGCCATACAAAAAATTATAATAAACTGAAGCTGTTCTAAATGTTAAATGTATTTAAAGATAACAAATCTGCCAAATCAAACAAATTAAGCAATAACGTAACAGTATGTAGCCATGGACGTTTATTTAAGTATTACAAAATAATTTCTTTTTACTACTAGCAAGGAGCTAAAAGAGCGAAAGAAAGTCTCCAACCCCATGCTATGCCCGACCAACAACCGTAGGTGGTCAGAGATGGTTATAAAGAACAGTTTATAAAGAACTACCTAGATCATTAGTTAAGTTTCTGTTTGGGATTCTTTTTTTACATCGGAACTTCTGCGAAAACTGTTGTGCTGCGCCTGGATCTGATTAGTTTAATGACTAAAGTAAATAAAATTGTCATATATGGCAGCTTTTTAAGATAATACGTATTCAGATATAAATGCTTTAATTCGAACTTGTTCTGCCGAATGTGTTTTAAATCAATTTTTAAAACAATCTAACAATTTCTTTTACATACTTGTATAAGTATGCCAACATATTTTTCAACTATTTTGTGAAAAACAAACAAATGACCGGTTTTGGAACTTAAAAAATTATGTATTAGAATAACCATTAAAAACATGATAGTACAGACATCGAAATACCTTGATAGATATTTATTTGTGTTGATACTTTTTTCAATTTTAAAATCAGACCTTGGTAATATTTATCATGTCAAGTTTTTTTGCAAAAAGTGAACTCCGAAATATGTAATCTGTCTATACTCTGCCACCAGGTTTTGATGTTGCTGCTCTGGATCAACTCTGTACTCTGTATGCAATTCAAAATGAACAGAAGTGTATTATTTGTTTATTAATTTGCTATTTTTTTTTTTAATTTTTAAAATGTGGATCTACAATGTGTTTGATTTTGTTGCCATGCCACGCCCTGGACTGTCACTATTCGTTATTCGTTAAAATCCATTAGCTATCTTAGCTATCTGTTATATTTTTAATGATTTGCCTTAAATGTAAAAAGGCGCCTCTGGCAAGATTAGAGGCACTTCGGCTAACAGCACAGTTGACTGCCCACGCAATATCGAGCGATACATTATATCTGCATAAATAACCGTTAATTAACCCACAATAATCACAACAAGTGTTCAGCTGGTGGCCAGCACGCGCTGCCGTATCCATTGGCATTGACAAACTTATTTCTCTATTATTTGTGCTCGTACTCGTAGTTGTTGTGGCTGTTTCAAAATTCGAGCAAAAACGATTTCAACTTGATAAATCGAAATGACCTCAGGCCGTGCAAAATTTTAAATCCAATTACGAACGACTACACTCAGGCGAGCCCCTGCCACTTTTGTCAGCTGGAAAGGGAGCCATCAAATACTGCGATCATGCTATGAAAAGCCGCTTAGCGCTTGAAACGCCCGCAATATGTGAAGGTCGGCGGTGGCTGAGATGGCGATGACTTGGCAGAAACCGGCTTGGTCGAATATGAATTGTTATTATTGTTGTGGCTGCTTGGACAATTGCACGTTTATTGCTCATTAGATTTCTTCTGCTTAGCCGGTTAATGGAAGTCTAAGAGACTTTGGATTGTGGTCGTAATGCGTTTGATTTGCAACAATTGACTTACTTTTATTAACAACAAATATTTAATTATACAATCAACATCAACTATTATTAACTGAACCGAACCTCAAGCTCATGTTTTTTTTTTCTGTGGGGGTTGGGTTGAAGTTGGCCGAGTCACCAAACCGGGAACTGCTCGTACTTCAAAGGTCACCACCACAAGAACTCTGTCGTCATACTTATGAGGTCCACTGATTGGGGGTGAATGATCTCTAGAAGCCCCAGTGTGTGCCAAAGCCATCGAAGCTCATGTGGGAGACGGCTTCAGCGGGCGAGTAGTGAACCGTTTGAGTGCTGCCGTAGCTGGAAACGCCGGGCGCGTTGTGAGTGTAGGTGGTGGCAGCTGGACCATGACTAATGTGGGTGCTGGCCAATGGAGTTTCATAAGTCTTGGCCACTACTGGAGCAGGAGCAGCATAGGTGACAGTCTTGGCAGGGGCCACATAGGTCTTCTCCAGCACGGGAGTAGGAGCAGCATAGGTGACGGTTTTTGCTAGCGCTGGAGCGGATGCCACATAGGTCTTGGCCACCAATGGAGCTGGAGCTGCATAAGTGACAGTCTTGGTAACAGCGGGAGCGGCATAATGGACTGTGGGAGCAGGGGCCGCGTAGGTCTGGGCCAACACTGGGGCAGGAGCTGCATAGGTAACAGTCTTGGCCAGAGTTTGTGCAGGCGCTGCATAGGTTTTGGCTAGCACCGGAGATGGGGCCGAATAGGTTACAGCCTTGGTAATAGCGGGCGTTATCTCCACTGCTTTCTCAAGAACTGGAGCAGGATTCAGCGTCTTCGCCACCACAGGTGTGGCCTGAGTGTAAAGTGGAGTAGAGTAGCTGATTGTCTTGGGAATGGCCTGGGTGTAGACGTTGTTGTTGATGCGGGTATCGGTCTTGCGAACACTGGAGTACGGCGTGTCCACGGCCTTAGAGTAGCTGGAGACGGTGCCGCCAAAGGAACGCACCACGTTATGTTGAGTGGAGGCCACAGCATCCACAGCGGGATTGGCAATGGCCACATGGCTGCCAATGAGGCCAGCATTGGCGCAAGCGATCAGGGCGCAGAGCGAGATGACGTAGCGGAAAGCCATGGCGATTTTTGGTGAGTGACGCAAGTACACGAGCTGCCAATGAGCTGTCGTTCGAGCTGAGATTGTGACTGTGACTGTTGCTGATTTGGCCGAAATGCTGCGGCTTTTATACGCATGCGACGCGTGCCCAAATGTTGGCAATTGAACTGCCCACAATGCGATGATTGCGTAGCTGTATGTGTTGTGCACTTGCAATTATTTGAAAGCCAATTAAATGCCTGTCGTAATTAGTGCACACTCGCAAGGTGTGCAGATCAAGTGAAACAGCCCAAGTGTAAAATTCATAACAATTTGCCAAACTGAAGGGAAAGGCAAAGCCGGTTGAGAAGGGAGCGGTTAGCGCGAGTGGGAGCAGCTACTTCGTGCGCAAATCAATTGTCAGCATCCCAAGTCGGCAACACAATTCAATTTGGACGCCGTTGTTGCCACCGCCATTGCCTCGCGCTGGCTGTAACAACTTTGGTAATTTCAATAAATATTCATCATACGCCCCGTAAACATACCAAAAAGAACAACAGCAACAAACAGAAGCATCAGCACCAACAAAATTCATTTTGAAAAGTTGCTAAAGAAAACTGCCAGCTCATTCGTATGCCCTCCCCATTCCCATTCCCATCCTCATTCTGACTCTCACTTACACACACGCCCCAAAACAAAAATCATAAACAAGACGTCGCAGTCAACACCACCACCACATCCACACAAACCAAACCAAGCCAAAACCCCACCCACAAACTCTAAAGATATCGTACAATACAAAAAAGTTGACAGTACGCGGCATCACCACTTGGGCGATGGTGGACCAAACCAACAACCACCCTAATGGGCCACTGCCCTTACACGCAGAGAAACATTTGTTGCCTAAGAAAATATTTTCCAGAATTTGTTGTTCCTGGTGGGGCTAGATATTTAGAATGGGTATACACGTAGAATAAGCAATACTCACTCCCATCTTTGCTATACCGATCAAAGACACCGTTCAACCACAATTCGGTTGTCGTTCAATTGATAATTTATAAGATATTCTTCTTGTCGCACTAGGAACTAATAATAAATAACAAAAGAGTTAAATAAATGAATATTTACATAAATAAATAAAGAAATAAATAAATAAATAAATAATTGTAGCGGAACCCTTTTAACACCACTCTTATTTATTTGACTAAAATTAATTAAGTTGTCGAAATCAATTCCAGGAAACATTAATTTTAATTCATTTGTCGAACATCAACGGATTTATTTTACATTTGAGTTTCGTTACGGCATTAAGTACATTTTTTATTAAGTTCAAAAAGATCCATAAAATAATAAAGTGTAAAAGTTGCTTCCTTATAATACAAACAATAAAATTAAATTAAATTTTGGTGACTAACTATTTTTGGAGCAATTAGCCGCAACATTTTCACATTCAAATTGCAAAATAATGTTTGGCCTTGTGTCCACAATTTACGATGTTTTGGCATATTTTAGCGATATTGCTGGAACTGATTTGGATTTGTAATCATTTCGATAAGATGCTTCATACAAGTAAGATAATACAAAGGGTAAAAGGGTAAACAAAATCTCTGGCAAATAAAATATGCGAACTTGACAAAAGACTAGAGAAAATAATACAGTGTAGTTGTTACTTTTCAATACTTGTAAATTGTTCAGCAAAACATTTTTTTAAATCTTGTTTTATATCCTTCCATTCGCAAGTCTTATTTCGCTTTTTTTTGAGAATTTGTAATATTGTTTTATATATAAGAGTTTTAAATGTTAGACAATAATTTTGGCAAAATAAATTTATTAAGTACAGTACTATGAACGGTCTAAATCGTGTTGAGTCTGTGTTTTAGCTCGTCCTGTTTCAAAAGTTCTGTTCACTCTTGAATTGGCCGTGTATTATATTAAAAACAGACTAAGAAACAAATCCACTCTCTCCTTGACTAAATTTAATTTTTTTTTTTTTAATTTTAGCTGAACAACAATGTTAAATATCTTGTTTTTACAAATTGTATTTATTTTAATTCAATTGCATCGCCAATTTCCCGCTGAGTGTAGCGAACATGGGTGTGGGCATATTTGCTGCTTGACTTGAACTCAATTTAATGGAAAAATACGGAGGGCAAATAAAAGTTTTCACTTGTTTTCGGGCGGAAAATTTATGAGCTGCTGATAGTATTCAAAATAATTCACTCTTCATGCGTGAGCAAAAACGAAAAAGTTTGGCAGCAAACGCATTTGTAGCATTTGATTTATGCGCACCTGAAGTGGCGTCTAATTGAAACAGAGACTTCAATCGACTTCCCTTCACCACACCTCAGACGTGTTGTCGTCCACCAGTCGGTCGACCCAATGAACCAGTTTTTAACAGGGCCCGTGTCATTGTCTAGGCCTAGGCCCAAGTCAATCTGTCACGTAACCTAATGTACATATGCTGGCAATGCGCTTTTAGCCAATTTCACACGCTGGTTGGCAAAAACACCAAAATAGTAACACGATTGATATCGACCGTGAAATGTTGGCAATAATTTTCGCTATATAAACAGCGTCGACCACACAGTTCGACATCAGTACCGGTCCACTTCCACAGCACCAGCAACTCCAACATTATTGCAATGGCTTTCAAATACGTCTTGTTGTCCCTTTGCGCTCTTCTCGGCGCCGCTCATGGTGGCAACTTGTTTGCCCCCGTAGCCACCTACGCTGCCGCTCCTGTGATTGCAAAGGTGGCCCAGCCCCACTACGATGCCGTGGGCACCACCCAGCAGAATGTGGTACGCTCCTTCGGCGGCACCGTCTCCACCTACTCCAAGAATGTGGTGACCCCCTACTCGAGCGTGAGCAAAGTGGACTCTCGCACTACCAACAACGTGTACACCCCGGCGGTGGCCAAGACTGTCTACAGCGCACCAGTGGTGACCAAGTCCTACTACACCGCTGAAGCTCCCTCCGTGGCTGCACCAGTGGCCTACACCAAGACTTATGCAGCCCCTGCTCCAGTCGTGACCAAGACCTATGCTGCTCCAGCCGTTTATGCTGCTCCTGCTCCAGTGTTCACAAAGACCTATGCTGCTCCAGCTCCAGTCGTGGCCAAGACCTATGCTGCTCCAGCCGTTTATGCTGCTCCTGCTCCAGTGTTCACAAAGACCTATGCTGCTCCAGCTCCCGTGATTGCCAAGACATATGCCGCTCCAGCTCCTGCTGTTTATGCCACTGCGCCCACCGCCTTCGTCAAGTATTCGCCCGCTGCCACCGTTGCTCATGTGAGCTTTGATGGCTTCGGCGCCCACTGGGGCTACTAAGAGGTGTTGGGTCTCTACCCATTGTTAATACATTGTTGTTGATTTCATGTGCGTAATAAAGTAACCCGTTGACATAGAACACGTTGTCGCTTTTAACTAATTACAGCCGGCACTAAGAGCACTTTTGGACTAATGTACAGTGGAACAACTAAAAAAGGCAGCTTGTAAAATCAAGTCAATAAATGAGCAATGAAAAAGTGAAGCTTATTAAAATTAAAGAGTCTCTCAATGTGTTAAGCTTAAGCCAAACCTTTGGAAAAAATCAATCAATTTTGTATCGAATGAGTCTGTTTACTTATGTTTCAAGCTGTCGGAACAATCATAATTATACAATTTCGCTTCGTTACAAAATTGCTTAGCTTACTCGTTCAAGCATTATCCACATGTGTTTCAAGATCCTTTATGATTTTAAGTCGGAATATAAATTTATGTATTTATATTGTGGCGAGAGTCGCCCCTCGGCGAAGCAATTTGCTACAAAAAATAAAAGGGGCAGCTATGCAAAGCAGCAAGGCCCTGCATCGTAGCGGCCGTTGAAGTGGCTGCAGCAACAAATCTGTCTAGCGGTGTGCCGCTTCGATGCTTGACAGAGACGCTCCCACCTGTGGAGAATGCACAAAGGCAGGGCACAAATATAAATGCGTCGTTCAGCTTAGCTTTATCTGAATACACTTTTATCCACCGTCACTAGCGGACAAGACAGACAGATGACTGCGATTTAACGATTTATTTAAACTTACAAGTTTGCGCATATTCGTGCTGAAAAGATACACGTCTGTCGAGAGGGCTCCAAAAAGAGAACGACCCCTGCAAGTTGGTTGCGGTTAAAGCCCTGAAGCAATTTGCTGGCAATTATCTCTATATATAAAGATACTAGTATATATAAAAGGATGCATATTCTTTTGGCATGGCAGGACTTGACAAATTTGTAATAAATATACAGCAGCATATCAGCAAGCCCGTTGAAAAGTTGTAAACGAGGATCAGATACGCAAATCATATGCGTTCTGAGTTTTTAAGCATATTTTAGTTTTTTGGAATATTTCTAAATCACAGTTATGAAATAATAGTTACTAGCCAGAAATTGAACTAAGGAAGTCAAGCAATTTAAAACCGTCCAGCAGAAACAAGTCAAGCTGCTAGATTATGCTTTTACTTCCTTGTTAAACTTTTATAGTTAGTTCAATTTTTTATTTATTAAGCTATGTTTTATTTCTACAATAAATTCGATTTAATCAAAAAAATTAAAGACCATCATCATATGTGATACATTGAAAATATAATATCTTAAAACAACAGTAAATTATTCACCACACTGTGCGATATCTGGAGGGTCAGCACATGACTTGCTAATGAAAATGTGCGAGTGACCAACGCAGCGTATGCGCAACCTGAAGTGCTCTTAATGAAAAAAAAAAAACAAGAACAAGAACAAAAGCTGCCCGGAAAAATGTTTGTAAATAACAGAAAGTTCAGAATTGTTTGTTTTCAACCCACTCACTCCTCCTCTTCTGGCAGACTAACTCACGCACATTTGTCTAACGCTTAATGGGGCGTATGTGTAACATAATTTTATGCTCACCGCCTCGTGGCACGAAATGGCCAACGCTCTATAACTTCTTTTTTTTCCCGTAATGGCTCAAATATTTAGTGGAAAACTTTTTGTTTGTCTTTTGCCAACTAACAAAAAAAAAAGAAGAAGCAATTCACAAAAAATTGTTGCATGAAGTTTAATGAGGCAGATGACCCTTTGCCGCTATAAACTTTGCGCGACGGTCAACGACGTCAGATGCTTGACCAAAGTGTTAACGTTGGTGCTGTTTCTGCTGTTGTTATTGTTATGGGCGGTGGCGTAAAAGTTTTGCAAATCGTTTGGGCGCACATGAAAAAACATTAACCCGGCGGCCAACGGCAAACTATTTAGCCATAAAGTTGGTCGTTCTATAACATTTTGTATGCATATTTTATGAATTTCGGAATGCTCCAAAAAGTGCGAGCAAATTGTTTTCAGTACAAAATTTAATGTTGACAACAATAAAATTTATGTGGACAGCCATAAGAAAAATATAAAAGGCAGCAACGCTATGTCCGAATCCTTTGCTGCCCTTGGTCCTTGAACATTTGCGCTTAACTGCATTTACATATTGCTCGATGTCCGCACTTTCTGTAGCCAAAGCGTAAGCCCTGCCAAATCTTCCATGGCTGTGATTCTGACGCCAACGCCGACGCCGACGCTGACGCTGACACTGGCGATGGTATTTGCAATAGTTTCTGAGTCGCTTGGCATGCTTTGTTGATTTCTTTATTGGCTCATGCATATGCATATGCATGCCGCAACGGACACTCGAGTGTTTATCCTTATTGATTGTGCAGATGGGTAAGAGATGTAAAAATTCAAAGCATGCCATCCAATTTGTTCTGCATACAAATGCAATTTGGCGCCTCAGCTGTCTATTCGGGATCTCGTTGTAGGAAGAACGATGCTGTTTCTTGCACAGCGCTTGTTAAGCGGTGAGACAAATGCCTCACATACAAATAATACAGGGTGAGCACAACCAGCAACGAAGCCTATAATGTGAAACACGGATTAGGTCAGGAATACCGTTTCAAAGATGTAGCTCACTTAAAAGAAATCAAACGAAACTTTAAGACCTTGCTAGAAAGCTACAACTGCATATTAATCAACCTGTCTAAACCCTATCTATGTAATCTCTAGATTTAATAATCACTTTAATATAATACAAATAATACAGGGTGAGCACCACCAGCAACGAAGCCTATAATATGAAACACGGATTAGATCAGGAATAAAGTTTCAAAGATGTAGCTCATATATAAGAAATCAAACGGAAATGTAACCCTTGCTAGAAAGCTAAAACTGCATATTAATCAATCTGTCTAAGCTAATCTATGTAATCACTAGATTTAATAATCACTTTAATTTAATACAAATAATACAGGGTGAGCACCGCCAGAAACGAAGACTATAAACTGAAACACGGATTAGATCAGGAATAACGCTCATATATAAGAAATCGAACGAAAATTTAGGACCTTGCTGGAATCCTCAAACTGCATATTAATCAATATGCCTAAACTTTATCTTTGTAAACAGTAGATTTAACAATCAGTTTAATTTAATACAAATAATACAGGGTGAGTACTAGCAGCAACGAAGCCTATAATATGAAACACGGATTATATCAGGAATAAAGTTTCAAAGATGTAGCTCATATATAAGAAATCAAACGGAAATGTACCCCTTGCTAGAAAGCTAAAACTGCATATTAAGCTAATCTGCATATGTCTAAGCTAATCTATGTAATCACTAGAATTAATAATCACTTTAATTTAGCATTTACCTGCACTCCAAACGTAATCATTTCTCTACGTAGAATAGTAGTTTTTACATTCGCCTTGGTCAGACAGCCAGCTCTGTACAGATGCTCCTCATCCTCGATGCCTCCATCAAAACAACTTTCGGGTATATAGCCCCTGACTAGCAAATAATCATCAGGTCCAAACTTGCCACAGCATCTAAACTATAGTTGAATTGAAATTAAGGAATATATTAATATAAATAAATTAATATATATATGCCTTTTCTTTTAGAAACAGAGTCTGTCAAAGGATGAAATTCGTGACTACATTTATACTACATTCCGAGGGCGTAGGCAGCTTTTACCAAAGGGGGGTCAAAAAAATTACGATGCATTTAAAAAATAATTTATGCATATGATCAATGAAAAAACTTCAACAAATCCAACTCATTTCCATTCTAAGGCGTTAAAATAATGAACGTGTGGTCGACTTTGTATGGAAACATTTTTTGTGTGGGGGGGGGGGCAAAGCCCACCCCCCTGGATCCCCCCCTGCCTACGCCCTTGCTACATTATTATATTAAAATCATTTTTATCGAAATATAATGAATAAACATAAGTGGTCTCCGTGAAAGCATCCAAATTCATAAGAAATTCTTCTGTCTTAAGTTCTTTTCAAAGATCTGTTCACGGAACAAACTACCATCATAAAAGACACGTATGCATGAGAGTGGATGAGAGGCCGATTGTTATGTCTTATATTGCTCCAGAGAACCGTGTAAGCTCATGTGAAGGAAAGAAATTTCATTCTTAGCAAAATCACATCGCTTGTTTATACATCAACGATCGATCGATTTTGCAAGTGTTTTTAAGAAAGAATTCAAATGACATTTAATTAATATCTAAAACAAAAAATAAAACATTTATCCATGATAATGCTCTATAGAAGATGAGCACTTTGCAAGGGTGTATAAACATCGCTGCATCTCTCAAAAACGAAATGCCGAACAAATGTTTGCTACTTACCTGCTTTTCAATACTGTCTAAGCTGCGATTTGAAGCCCATCTTTCGTGAACCTCCAAAGCAATGGGAAAACGTTGTGTGAGCATCAATAGGGACAGGCCTTGGAACCAAGTAAGCACAAATAACAACACAAGGAACTGTAGACAATTAGAAAATTAGGTTCGAATGGAAATTGTCCCTGACAATGATTGTTACTCACAATTCGGAGACTACGCTCATCTCTTCTGGAAGCAAGTACAACAGCAACGATCAGACCCGCTATGGACATGCTGGAAATGATTAATATTAGCATTTCGTAGCGCACAAACAGACAGCAAACACATTCCCAATAGGATAAGACCATTTTTCCATAATACAAAAAGTCTAAAAGGTTCAGAAACTGCCGTAAACATATGATATATTAGCCATCCATGTAAAAACAATAGTAACAAAGCAGACTTACAAACACAATGCAGACGAGCACGTAGATTACGAAGCGAAAGATTACCAATGTGAAATTCATTGTGTTGGCTCGCCCCAAATGGGAGAAATTATCAAATGAAATGAACAACTGGACGAATTTTGAGTTTTATGTCACAGTAACGTTCCCCAATTTGCCACTACATTTGAGATATTTGCATTCCCCAAATCAAATACTGCATCAGATTTAAAGCTCTCTTCGGATTTGCATGAATATATAGTACATAGTAAGTGCTTGGGGATAAGCCAACGCGTTCCTTAGCTCTCCAAACTATGCTATGGAATTTTTTAATCAAACAGTTGCCATTAATTACTGCAAAATTCTACAGCCACATAACAGACATTTTTTCGACAGCATCCAACAGTTCAAGCCACACGCGTTGAATGAATGAATGAATGAATGGATAGGAAGCAAGGCAAGGAATAAGGCTCCGTTTCCAGCGCTTGTGTGCAAATACGAGTACGTGTGTGTATGTGTGAGGTAGCAGAAATAAAAAATCCAAGTCTCAACCGCAGCTCTGGCTAAAGGCAGGCAGCCGGAGGGTGAGGAGTCAGGCAAACAGCGAGCCATTCAACACAACTAAAAATCAAATTAGGTGCAAACGAGCAGCCGCCAACAGCTTAGACGTAGTCGCGATGTGGAGCTTTCAACTCTCAGCGTTTGTGGGCTCTTGCCCCCGGGCACTGTCAGGCAATGAGGCAGGGTATTTGGAGACGTGGGGGGGAGGGGGTGCTTGTAATGAATAATTTATAATGCACGCGTTGATGTTTTGCTTCTTGCCGTTTCAAGCTTTTAGTTGAAATTAAAACTCTGCGGCTTTTTCATGTTGAATTAAAGCAGAACGCTGGCAAATGCTTTGCTTTCTGTTGTTTTTCGTTCATCACGTGAAGAGAGCACAATGAAAATGGGGAATATGCAAGATTAGTGTTAAGTCACGCTTTTGTCCTCCGATTAGATTCATATTTGAAGATCCAAGACTTAAATGAATCACGGAATTGAATTTAATAGTTGAATACATTTTTAGATCTTCTATTAAACAATTTAAATGTAATTCGAAATCTTTTTCTGTACTTATTTGTTAATGATTTAAATTTATGTTGCCAATTTAAAATGTTTATTTATTTTTTATCGGAGCAGCTGAAGAAAGTTGAAGGCGCCAGTGATAAATGCGCCAGCGTGTATGTTAGTGTCAAGTGCACGTCCTGGAGCAGGCAAGAATTCAATTTGATACACAAACTGATTTATCGACGCACAGAAACCGACGCACACACACACACATAGACACACACACACAAACACGCGTACACATGATTGCCATATACCATTCATAAGCGTTGCGAACCGAACAAGTCAGTGCGGCAAATGGAGATGGGAGGAAGGGCGACTGTATATGAGACGATAAAAAATTACATACACTTGTAACTGTTGCCGTCGCTGCGTTTCGCCTCTAACAAGGTTAATTTGTAGCGATCGTAGAGCATCCAACGCCAGCGCACTGTCATTTATCTTGGCTGTCAGCAGCCTGAAGTGAAAAAAGCAAGTTTCGTATCACTTCTAATTTGAATTTAACAAGCTCGCATCGCAGCGAGGCAGTCACTCAGGCAGTCAGTTAGTCAGCTAGTCAGTTTGTCAGTCAATATCACGGCATGGCCAGAAATTTGAAAATTAAAAATTTATTGCCAAGCGTCAATCATCGATGCTTTGAGGGTGACAAAAACAAAGCGAAAAGAAAAAAGGAAATATCATGTATAGTATGAACCCACAATGCTAGCCAGTTTCATTTACCCATTCACTCACTCAACCATTCGTTCACATCATCAATTGTGCATTGCGATGTTTCAATTTCATTCTTTGGTCCTTCGATAGTCGTTGCCTCGTTTGTTTGGCTGTTGAAACAATTGAAAGCGACACTTTTATGGTTGTTCAGATTTGTAGTAAGTGTAAACTCTTTTTTTTCTTTACATTTTCTGTTTTTTTTGTTTTTGCAATACATTTGTTACTCTTTGCCTTACAGCACGACAAATTTATTGGCACATTGTTCAATTGGCATATGCAATATATACATACATACATAGATACTATGTATGTAGGTACAATGTGCTAATTGCAAAAGCTGTGCACAAATTTGGAACGCTATATGATTCTTTGCTTTAAATGGTTTGTAAATATTTTGATTTGTATTTTCCAAGACATTAGATAATAGTTTTTATTTACCCACAAAACTTCTTGCTGGACTTTTGGGTCGAAATAAAATTTCGTTGCATATTTTGTGGCGTCAAATGGCAGCCACAAAAATGAATGAAATCGTAAAATTCGGGCGTGCTGGTCAGCAGAGTCAGCCACAGAATCAAGCTAATAACGTACATTCAAAAACCGGATGTGCCGCAGACCGCTGCCGCACAAAGCCTGGCCCAAACACACACTCACACATATTCGTACATACATACACACTCATATATATTTGTCTATATGTATATGGCCTATCTATATCTGGGCTCAGACAGTGGCTGTTTGTGTGTATGTGTGCATTGGCTTTTAAGAGCCGAAACGAGTTTTGAGGCCAACGTCTCTAACATAACCCCAATTTGTTTGAATGTTTGTTTGTCTCTCGGCTTGAATTTTTGGGATTGAGATGGGCGAGATCGTAGTCCCAATACACGAAACTAACTGCAATAATCGCATGTCAGACGTTATTCCCAAAAACACCACAAGTTTAGTGGTCACTAAAAATTCAAACAATCAGACTAAAAAACAAAAGGAAAAGCCGCACTACTCTGATTTCTAAGTCGCCGAGGAAGTGTGCATTTTTTCTATCTTCTTCAATATGCGTTCTAGTGGCTAAACTTCTAGGGCCACTCAACTGGATTGGTTTGATTTTGCAATCTTACAGCTATGTACTATTTGTTAATATACTATAAAAAGTATTTTTGACATAACAATTCTGGTTATAATAAAGACAACGCTACTCTTATGTTAGTCTTTTAGCCAAAATCAGTTCGAGAGCAGATTGTTAGTAAAAAAGGAGTAGTTTTCAAACACCTAATGAAGTGGAATGTCTACACGAAAATATCGAATACAAAACAGCCTATGCAGAGCTGGATCTAAAAAAAATTGTTCTACTGTAAGTCAAAATAAGTTTTTCATATACAAGTAAACGCAATCAATGCATCGCTACACATTTCACCATCCATTTCACCATTTCACATACATTGCGAGTATCTGTTTTTTAAATTTTTAATCTTTATTTAAGATCTGTCCTAGATCGGACAATTATTAAATTTTATTAAATGATAACTTTCACATTTTTAAATCATGCCTCTGTCATGACGGTTGCTGCGGGATTCTACCCGAGTGCCTACACGTTGTGAGATTCCTGCTAGTATGAGGGGGCGTGGCTATGCAAGGCGTTAAGTTATGCAAGGTGAGTATTACAAGTATACATTTTTAATTGTTGTAACACATTCAATTTAGTCATAATAAAATAAATTCTAAAATATGTTGCTTGTTTTTAAATTGGTTTAGAAGTGGGTTCACGAACCCATCTCTAATTGAGGCTTCATGTGTATGCTCTATCTGCCTGGCAGCATGCATCTAACAATTGCATTGCAAAACACTCGAGCGACTGCTGCCTTCTCATTCCACGGTTTGGAAACCCTCGGCACTTTAGTATTCTCTCGCGCTGTGTAAATATTTGATTTCTGCATTAAAGTCAATTTGCTTTCATGATTCCGTAATTCATTGTTTACTCGCGTTAGCTTCTATTACGCCTTCCGCCAGCAACACGCTGCGCTGCCACGCCCCCTCATACAGCAATGTTTGTTTAATTTTCTACATTTGCCGCCCTTATTCACGCTTTTATTGTTTATTTTTGCGGAGCCTTTCAGCTGTTTTTTGCTCATCCTCCCTCAGGCACTCCCACGCACTCGCACTCGCAGACACTCACACACACAATCACGGGCAGCATTGCCGCCGGAATCCCGTATTTCCGTTGCACTTCCACTAACACCAGCTCAGCCGCAGCAACAACAACAACAGCACGGGACACAATGATATCCAAAGAGGCACTGCCACCGTCGCATCATCTTTGTTTGTTGCTCGGAGCCAAGTTGTCTGTGCCTTTTGCCTTTTGTCTGCCTGCTGCCAATCCTTAGCTCCCCCCGCCCTTCGTCCTGCCTGTTTTAATATGCGTACTCGACGTTAGAAATTAAATCTGGCGCTCAAATGTTATTTGCGCTTTTCGCTTATTTATTTATTTATTATTTGCTTACGTAGCGCTTCGACTTCCCAAGCTCGCTCAGATCGTGGCCAAGTTTTCATTACGTAATGCAAAATAATATCTTGCTATGAGCACGTGTGTGGGTAAATGTTGCTGGATTTAATTTATGTATTGAAGCAGAAATTTATTTTGTTTTATAGCGGTCGAAATGTAATGGTTATCTGAAATGGTTTATCATAAATATTGAACTACTGGGTTACTCGCTAAAATCTTTAATTAATCTTAAGTTTCTGGTTCTTTCAATCAGGTTATACTTGATCCCAAAATCCTTAATATTGTGAAATCAATTGATTCGGCAGATTAACATCAGACGAGAAGTTTGTAAAAATTGTTCTTATGAATTCCTATTACATGTGAGCTGAGTGAGCTCTCGTTGGAAGGCAGAAATAAAACTAGAAATTGCCCGTTTTCGCCAAGTTTGTCCAAAGGAGCCAATCAATTAGGAATGGACTGTTTGAGTAATCCTCCTAGAATTCCTGACTATGCAGACATTTAAGTAAATCTTGATGGAAGTAATTGCACGGAAGTGCAAAAAATGATTATAATAATCCTTTCTACTATTTTGCCACCT